TTATTTAATGTAAAGTAGTTGTATATGATTCTATTTTGTTTTTTCTTTCTTCAGATTTTGTTGTTTTGGTGATCGTCAGAAAGAGTTTTTTTTATGAAATTTTTAAAAATATCTATTCTAATATTGTTATTTGTTATTTACTTTACTACTATTTTTTATTTATTTTTTGTATTAGTCGAATTTAGTGGCCAATAGTTCTATAAGCAAGTGATGGGTGAAAAAAAATTAAGATCATACTTTCAGGTCATCTGTGAATTTACAGATATACAATTTGGTGGTCATAACTTGTCAAATCACTCAGAAAGAAAAACCGCAGTTCAAGTACTGAAAGGGCTTAGCTATTCTGATGCTGTAGTCATGTCAATTATGAAACATAAGTCACAGAAAGGTCTAGCTGCATATGAACGACCAAAATCTATCATGCAGCAAGAAGGCCTTAATAGATTTTTAAAGGCATTGACACATGTAAATAAAGATGAGGAATCATTTAAAGGTAATTTTATTCAATTTCCAATTTGATTTTTTTGTCAAAAATTCTATTTATTACATTTTTTTTCTTATTTTTAGAAAATGAAACTAGAATGCAACTGTCAAGCAGGAATTTTGTTTTAGCAAGTTCTTTGATAAAAAGAGCGAATTCAATGATATCACTTGCAAGTGGTATTGATAAGCTTGAAGTATCATCAATTGATGACTATAAATCACCAGAAGCAATCATTGATTATGAATCACCCAGAACAACCACCACTAATAAACCACCAGGAGCAACTACTAATGAACCACCAGGAGCAACCACCAACGAACCACCAGAAGCAACCACAAACGAACCACCAGGAGCAACCACAAATGAACCACCAGGAGCAAGCATTACTAGTAAACTGTCACTGCCTCGAACATGAAATGTGTTGGGTGAAATTGAATGCCAAAACATTCATCAGGAAAATTCACAAAATGAAGAAGATCGAAAGGAATTTATTGAAAAATTCCTCACTGGGAATACATTTAACAATTGTGTTTTTCATTTTTAATTGTCTAGAAATATAAAATGCAAATTAGTATTGTAATAAAAATTAATATTGTAATAAAAAAAAAATAAATGTAATGACTTAGCTTCATATATTTTTAAAATTGAATACAATTGTTTATTATATTTGAGCAAATTATGAATATTCGGCATTGCATCATAATCTTGCCAAAAATATCAAGACGTTGCTGCGCCATGATCATATGAGTTTGCCGGATAACAGTATATTTCTATTAATGAAGAATTATCTAAGATTAATATTAACTTACTTTTTAATCCATTCTTTAAATTTATCTTTATCCTTTTTCATGCCAATTCCGTAAAAGTAACAAATGGCAGTTTTAAAGATTCCGTTAGAGCTGCCCATTTCAGCTGATTCTAAATAATGCTTAAATGCTTTATGTTTATCTATTTCAACACTAATCTCATTATAATAACAAAAACCAACTTGAAATATTCCATCAGAATTATTCAATTTTGCAGATTTTTGATATGGTACGAATGCTTTATTCTCATCCTTTTCTACACCAATTCCATGTTCATAACAATAACCAAGCATAAAAATTCCATCAGAATTATTCATATCTGCTGATTTTGTATACCAAGTAAATGCCTGGTGCTCATCTTTTTTAACTCCAATTCCTTGAAAATAATAATAGCCAACTTGAAACATTCCATCAGCACATTTCATTTCATCAACTATCTTAGTGAATCCTTTTGGATTGCCTGCCTTAGTAGAACTTTTGTAATGTTCAAATGCTTTTTTCTTATCGGTTTCAACTCCAATCCCTAAATCATAAACGCCAACTTGATACATTCCATTAGAATTTCCTGCATTTGCAGATTTTTCATACCAAGTAAATGCCAGTATTTCGTCCTTTTCAACCCCAATTCCGTGACAATAACATTGACCAACTTGATATATCCCATAAGTATTATTCAATTCTGCAGATTTTTGATAGTGTATGAATGCTTTATTCTCATCCTTTTCGACATCAATTCCATGTTCATAACAATAACCAAGCATGAATATTCCCTTAGAATCTTCCCTATCTGCTAATTTTTCATAATCAGTAAAATTCAATTGACCTAAATTGCTAGTGATTTTAGTAATCCCTTCATCTACCATTTTTATTATATAAGAATTAAGCTGAAAGTAAGATAGTTTGTTTTGTGAACGTGAAATATTGTTTTTATACAAATTTCTGCTTCATACAGAATAGTATAATTGTACACTTTGCAATATACCCATTGAAGTGGGGTTCGGATCTTAAAATTGTGATTGGATTTCATGTAAATAAAATAATTATAAAAATATTTTGATTAATTAATTAATGATCATTTATTTAAGTGAACAAATTATTAACCGAATTTATCGTATATTCAATCGTTCTTTTCCAAAAAAATGCAAAACAAAGAAAATTAATTTATTTCGAGATAAGTCTTTAGTACCTTAACGGAAAATCATTAACAGATGTCAAAAACTTTTATTTTGCAGAGTTTTATGGTCTTGTGATTTCAGTTCTTCACGAACCTAATAACATAAACTTGGGAACTCCTAAGAAGGGCAAAAAGGAACTGAAAACAATCTTTAATACTCACATTATTCAGTTGTCAAGAATGGAAAGAATCAGAATTATAATCGCTTTATAATATATGATGTACTGTTTGCAATGTAAAAATGGAATTCTTTATGTAGCTTTTAATGCAAATGAACTTTTACCATTTGGACCAACCAAGTATGAAGAGTTTGAAGTCTGTCACACTAAAATCATTAGTATATGAGAAGCTGCAAGAATACAGTCAATATACGTCATAATAGGAGTACTGTGTAATTGCAAAGGTGAATGTAAAAAAATAATTGTAATGAGACGTTCAAATTTGCTAAATGGCCATTTACATAGCACAGAATGTGAAAAAAAAGAATAAATCTTAAAATTAGCGTTAGGTACGCAATAATATATATATTTTTGTTTATAAAATTTGTTTCGCTAGTTATTTCAAGTTCTATTTTCACTTATGATAAGTCATTTTAAGTCACTTAATTGGATTCCGAATCCAAACCCATACAACTTAACTTTGTACGCTAACCATAGTACTCTCAATGACTATAATACTCATATATGCCAATAACTTGTAAAGTAACCTGGGTCTTTATGTACACGCTATATGGGGTGTGATCTATTAAAACAGCCCATTTTTACATATCGATACGTATAAACAATTTTGAGTAAATCGATTTTAAATAATGATCTACAAATAGTAATACAGATAAAATTTTAACTTAAAAAGGTTTATTTTGAAACTTTTTATTATATAATTAGCTTTGGTAACTTAAACTTTTTTATTGAATATATATCTATTCTAAAATCAAATAAAAATTTTTTTGAAAATTTGTAAAAATGGGCTGTTTTAATAGATCACACCTTATATGATACTATCTGCTATGCATTTATAGTGTCGGTCCCGTGATCTCAGTATTCCAAACAATCGAAAAAATATTTAAAGTTTATTTACGATTTAACTACTGAATTTTTATTCGTGAATTTTGATTGAATTAAATATCTTAATATCCAAAATTAAAATGTAGTATTGCAAATTCTTTGCTTTTAATGCATACATAACATGACAAACAATATTTAAATGTTCCAAACTTAGGTTCAAGTTAACCTAAATCTGAACCAGCTCGTGTTTAATGTTGGTTATTTGTCTAGCTTTCCGAGATCTAATAATCTGCCTCAAATTTTCAGACCATACTCATATTGTTTAATTTAACGTTAAACGAATTTTTAATTTCAAACAACCGCTACACTCGGATCACGATCCTTCGCATTCCCAATTATTGTATTTACTGGATCATGTAAAATCTTAATAAATACAAAAATCAAATTCTTCACGTAATAAGGTTTTACGTCGTCTATCAACCAAATTGGTGTCAAGATATTTAGAGAATACAGTAATAAATTTTTCAAACACATATAAGAGATTTATTTGTAATGCGACGCGTGAATAAAATTTTTATCTTAAAGCTACAGTATTTAAATTCATCCAAATTCCAAAAACAATCTACGATAATTTAATTTGTAATTCACTTAATTTATTGTAGGTTAAATTTAAATTCTTTTAACATTTTAGAATTATATTGCGACCTACGTTTATTTGTAATCTCTTAAGTAGATTCTAAATCTACATTAATTCAATTCCGACACATATTTTACTTCAAAACTTCAATCAATTACATAAGATCACTTATATCAAAGTAGACACTCATATGAGTGCGGTAGAGTGAAAACCTGGGGTGCCCTAATTTCCCCCACTACTTCACTATCGGAATAGAAAATACTCCACCAAGTGAATAATTAGTACAGCCAATTAGAAGTGGTGGGGTAAATTAGTAATTCGAAAACCTAGATAATTTTATCACTGTAATAAACTTAGTCTTTATAATATATAATACGATAATTGCAACAGTGATAAACTTAAAGATTCACTTCGAGGTTTTCACTCTGCAGCACTCTTATAATAGAGTATCTACTCAAAATTATGGTCAAATAAACGATCAAAAGCATCGAATAACTCATACGTAAGGTAGAGACCGACCCAATTTTATATTTTAATGATTTATTTAATTTTTTTATATCTTCTTAAGTGCATGATTAATATTTCAATTTTTATTAATTGCAATATCATTAGAACCTTTTTTTTTTTTTTGAAAAAGTTTAAAAAAAGATTATTAAGAGTTGATTTAATTTTTTTCATCTTATAATCTTAAAAGTCGAACAATTGGCGATAAAAAAAATTCTTAATAAACGGTGTGTAAAAACTATATAAATATATAAATAAAACATTTCCTATTGTTTATGTGAAGACAAGAATAAAATAAATTGTTTTCAGTTTAAAAAAGTTTTTCTATTTTTTTTTATACAATATAAAAATTTAAATGTTTACCACTTTTTTATATATTTCAAATATCATATTCGTAAAGAATAAAAAAAAACAAAATATTAACTAAATTTTTGTATTGCTAATTTTTGATTAAATACTTTTACTTGTTGAATTTTAGCCCAATTCTCTAATATTGTACAATCAGTATCTTTTACCAATACTTCATCAAGATTATTAAATGTTGAAGTAATTAATGGCCAAATAGCATTTATTCTAATATTTTTACATTCAATAAAATGTAAAACTTCCAAATTTTTAAGTTCAACTAAAGATTCAAATGATTGAACCCAATAAAAATCTACATGATTAAATTTAAGAAAACGTAAGGATTTTGCATGAGCTTGTAATTCATTTAGAATTAGATGAATGAATAAGCCTTCATGACTTATTTGTACTAATTCTAAAGATTTTTGAACATTGACAAAATGAGCAATGTCAATAAAGTTTTGTATTCCAAAATCCTTAAATGATATATTCAATGAATCCTAAATTAAAT